GCAAGGCGTATCTGAAACTTTGAAGGAACTCATGTTGCTTCTGAGATTCGAACCCGCGTCACCCAGTGCTACAGTCACTAGACACATAACACTAGTTACTGACTAGTGCGCAATCAAAAATATCCAAGACAGTCCTACAGGAGGTCAGTCGCGAGCCGGAATAGCTCAGTGGTAACGTCTCTGACTGTAGCACTAGATGACGCGGGTTTGAATCTCAGAAGCAACATGAGTTCCTTCAAAGTTTCAGATACGCCTTGCTGATGAGTGCCAAGTAGCACGAAACCTGGGTCCAAGGCTTCCTGCCGATTGCCTCCAACCATCTAATACCAACAATTCTTTAGGCTTATTTGTCATTTTTGCTAACAGTTAAAATGAGTCATAATATACTTACCACTGCGGAAATCTCTTCTAATTTTCAGTAGTTAATAAGAGTTTTAAACATAGGCATTGGTGAAACTTGATTAGTAGTAATAATTGGTTATGGTATTAGATTTCAAGCTTTCGTTTGCTGGGATTTGAGTGATTTCAAGTTTTTTTTCACGAAATGACATGAGTTAAAGAAGTATTGCAAAACCAGAAAGTAATGAACAGCTGTTTTGTCCTTGTTTAAAGCTCGGATCCAAGACTTTGTCAGGGGTCGAACTCAGGACCTTCAGGTTATAAGATGAGCTCGTAATGGAATCAGCTACTGGAATGGGAATTGGTGGCCAGTCAGTTCTGACTTGTGCCGATTCGCGGCATGTAGTGCCACTGCTTGCTAGCCAATGTCTTGAGCGAGTATTTGTCCTCACTCCCAACTTGGTGAACCCGGTTGGTCACGACTTCCCACTAGAACTGCAGGCGATTTCGTCCTCTAAATAGTCACTAATTAGCACTAGATTAGTTTTTAAGTGTCGGTTAGGAGGGATCTGATTTCAAGATTGAGCAAGAACTACAGTTGGTGTTCAGTAATTAGTCGGTGAATTTTTTCATCCTTATTATTATTATAGTATTATTATTGTTCCCTTGAGTTCCTAGTGGAACATAGGGCTTCAACTACATGTCTCCACTTGCTTCTGTCTTCTGCTGTACTTTTCACCCGCATCCATGTTAGTCCATACTGTTTCAACTCCTCTTCACACGATCTCCTCCATGTCACTCTTCGACGTCCCACTCGCCGCCGCTCCCCTTTCGGGTTCCACTCGAGCGTTGGCCTGAGGCGCGATGTCACCCAGCGAGTGGCCTCCTCAGCCAGTGAGTGTCCAACCCATCTCCACTGTCTCCTGCATATTTGTTGGGCGATTGGTTCTTGTTTCTTTTGTTTGTTCCCATAGTTTGTTTCTTGTTGGTTGTTGTTCTTTCCGGCCATCTGATCTTCAGTATAGAACGAAGACAGCTGTTGATAAAGGTGTGCAACAGGCTGTTGGAAATGCTCATTCTTTGTGACCCGCCAGTTTTGTTATCCGTTTAGAAGAACTGACTGACTTGACGTTTGTATCGAAAATCCGAATTTTGTTGTTGATGCTGGCTGGGTTGAGTGACGAAGATTTCTAGATTGGTTTCAGGTTGATGAATGTGTTTCTCGCCTTCCCGATTCCCGCTCGATTTGACATCCTCGTCCGTTCCATGTGCCTGTAGTTGAGACAATTCTCCCTAGAAAAGTCAGTGAATGAAGTAACCTCTTTCAAATCCCTCCCGTTGATGGTGATTGGCGTTGGATGTTGCTGTTGTTGTTGGTTGGTTATTTTCATGACCTCTGTCTTGTCCATGTTCACCTGGAGTCCTGTCTTCTCTGGCTGCTTCTTCGACCAGTTTGTCGGTTTTCGCTTGTAAGTCTTCGATTTTGTGTGACATCAAACATAAATCATCCGCGACATCCAGGTCCTTAACTTTCGCGAAAATATTTCGATATATAAAAAAAATCAGCGAGAATCATTTAAATTAGTGGCGAACAAAAACAACTCGGTGGAATTCAGACTACCACAGATCTCATTAAGATGTGAAATCTAATAAAACGGCTCAAATATAACACTACACATGTAGTCATAAACTATCACACAATAGGATGAGACAGTGCTACTCTCAGAATGTAATACAAGAGGGTGGAGGTAGAGACTGATAATTGAAGTTTTATTCGTCAAATCGACTAAGAATATATGCAACTGGGGGGGGGGATGAATCAGCACCTAATCCAAACATATGGAAATTTTTGATGCCTTATACAAAATATGGGGAAGTAGAGCGCAGACTATAAATAAGCTCAGGGTCTCAGAGTTGTATGATTACAAATGATATGATTATTTAAACAATAAAGTGTGTGTGAAAAACGGGATCCAGTAAACAGTACAGTTTCATAAAATGTGATATTTCCAACAAACAGTGCAATAAGAAGTTAACAAACATATCGATGTTGAAGCACACGATTGTTTCATCCATGAAACACGAAGTTCATGATAAGAAAAATAATTTTTAATTCTGTAATCGTGCATTAGTGAACTATGAAACATGGAGGGGGTGGGGATTTTTCAAATGGCTTTTATATTGGAGTTATTAGTTAAGTTTATTGGAGATTCTTTGGTTGAACCGTTATTTTAAAGATAGACTGTTATTGACATAATAAGCGGATAACTGAAATGGTGACAAATATCTTTTTCTTAACCGAATATCTCAATAAGTTGCATTTAGAAATTGTCATCTCTGCACTAATCATTTCATAGATTTTCTTTCTACTATCATGAATATTCTTGTCGTGTACACTTCACTTGATGCTTGTTATAATTTGGAAACTGAGAGTTTTTAAACATCTCAAACAAACCCTCATTAACTGTTGTCTTCGCTCAATACCACTCAAGATCAGATGGCCGACCGGAAAGATCAGCAACAGAGATCTCTGGCAATGAGCGAACCAACTCAGCAGGAACCGATTGTGAAACAAATAGGCAGGAAGAAATGGAGATGGATTGGTGGCCATACTCTGAGGAAACCATCAAGTGACATCACTAGACAAGCCATTGCTCGAGTGGAACCCGACTGAAAGGGAAGCGGCGAGTTGGTCGTCAGTGCAAGTGTGACTTGGAGGAGATTATGTGAAGAGGAGATGAAAGCATGTGGACAGACTTGGAGCCAGGTGAAAACTCTAGCAAAACTCGAAGGCAATGGAGACGCACGGCTGAAGCCCTATGTTCCTCTAGGAATAAAAGGAAACAATAATAAAAATAATTTAAACAGTGCAAACATTTATTGTATGAGTTTTTGAATAGATAGTAAAGAGGAGGCAAAGAATACGAAGACAGTTAACAGTTGTTGCTTGCATACTTGATTTAAACTCTATTGATTATAAATTATAACAAGTGACACACACATTTTCGATGGATGATGGCAGATGTTCTTCCTTCAGTAAAAGTGGATGTTGAGGTGGAAGTGTTATCTTCAATATAAAGGGAGAAGAATAATGGGTGAAGTTAAAGAATCATAGCCAAAGTCAAGGTCTTTTAAAAGTTGGTCTTCAGGAGTCGATCAGGGAATGCTATGATATGTCATTCCAAATCAAATCATGCCTGCCTTTTGTGGACTTGGAGAGGATAGATACAGTATATTCTGCTTACTTACTAGGTACTTTTTCTTCAAATCTATGGTATCAGGCGCGTTATGTCGCTTAACATTAAGGTTTTGGGGTCGAAGTTGGGGTTAGGAGGCAAGATTATGGTTATCTAGTTACGAGTAGGTTGGACAATAGTGTCAGAAATATCAATGAATCTCAAATAACCATTACCTACAGTCACCTGGATGAATGGGTATTATAGCACATGGTAAGATTTCTCTATAGATCACCTGTGTATTGACTAGGAGACATTTTTACACATAAGCTACAGCCAGACAGTGTAATATCAAGTTTGCAATATTTGTTTAGTGTATTTTTCAACAATTACGCGACTTCTTTGCATCTGAATTTTGATTGGTTGTCCAAAGTCACTTCGATTTTGATACTTTAACTTCGTCAGATAATAAACTAGATGCTGTTTATAGATCTACCCTAAAAACGTCAGTACAATAAATATATCGAAAAGGGTAGTCTTATTTTATATTTTTAATTGGTATATGTGCTCATCAGGTGCTCCAGGTGAACATAGACAAGACGGAGGTCATGAAAATAACCAACGAACAACAACAACAGCAGCAGCAACATCCACCGCTAATCACCATCAACGGGAGGGATTTGAAAGAGGTTACTTCATTCACTCACTTATCTAGGGAGCATTGTCTCAACTACAGGCACATGGAACGGACGAGGATGTCAAATCGAGCGGGAATCGGGAAGGCGAGAAACACATTCATCAACCTGAAACCAATCTGGAAATCTTCGTCACTCCTCAGCATCAACAACAAAATGATTCGGATTTTCAATACAAACGTCAAATCAGTCAGTTCTTCTATACGGATGGATCAGAAACTTAGCGGCGGGTCACAAAGAATATTTCCAACAGCGTGTTGCAGACCTTTATCAACAACTAACTGTCTTCGCTGGCTCTATACTGAAGATCAGATGGCCAGAAAGAATCACCAACAAGAAAGAAACTATGGGAACAAACAAACAGAACAAGAAGCAATCGCTCAACAAATATGCAGGAGAAAGTGGAGATGGATGGAGATGGACACTCGCTGAGGAGGTCGCTGGGTGACATCGCGTATCAGGCCAACGCTCGAGTGGAACCCGAAAGGGAAGTGGCGAGTGGGACATCAGTGCAAGGGTGACATGGAGGAGATGGTGTGAAGAGGAGTTGAAACAGTATGGAATAACATGGATGCAAATGAAAAGTACAGCAGAAGACAGAAGCAAGTGGAGACGTGCAGTTGAAGCCCTTTGTTCCACTAGGAACCCAAGGGAACAATAATAATAATAATAATAGTAATATGTGCTCATCATATCATAAACTTTACTAATTTAACAGAAAGAATAACACAACATAATTTAACTGTTTCTTGCCTTTTTTGTTGTTGTTAAAAATTGTTTTTTTTCTTAGGGAGACAACTGTAAACAGAAAGAAAGATTACCTAACAAATCATACTCTTTATTCTGTTGTAATGAAGATTCGGATACAGTACCGCCTGCAATGGCTCTTATCAATGTCAATCGTCTTAGTACACGAAATTTAAATCTTATCAACTTGAATAATAATAATGATAATACAAACAAGAAAAGCAACACCTCCAATGTTGACTTACAAATCTCCCATGCTAAAAAGACAAAATCACTTCTTCTTTGCAACGCCAGAAAATCTCTGCCTGCAATTCATCTTGACTATGATTTGCAAGTGAGTCATAGCAGTGGTACTAGTAGTCTGTCTGATGCTGCAGTTGTAGGTGTTGATGAACAGGATTATTATCTACAAACTGATAAATTGCTCACCGTGTTTTCAGCTGGTTCAAATGGTCATACTATACAATTTGGACAAACTGGTGCATCAGCTAGAGATTCTGGTTTAAGTTCACATTCAAGCAATTCAGTAAATTATTCACCGAATTCTACTCAATTGTCTTCGAAAGGAGTGAATACTGCTGCTTGTCAATTGAATCTATCTCCTACATCGCTGCCGACTCCATCACCAGCACCAGCACCACCACCACCAGTCCCTGAACATGCTCCTCATTCACAGGCTATGATTGCACTTGCACGTCGAAAAGAAGGAGGTAAGACAGGGTTGCGTTTTTTTTAGTGAATGAACCTTTATTTATTTTTCTGTAATTATTATCATTATTATTGTATCCTTTAATTCCTAGAGGAATATACGGCTTCAACCGTGCGTCTCCATTGCTTTCGGTTCTCTGCTAGAATCTTCACCTGGCTCCATGTCTGCCCACACGTTTTCATCTCCTCTTCACATGACCTCCTCCAAGTAACCCACCCTTGCACTGACGACCAACTCGCCGCTTCCCTTTCAGTCGGGTTCCACTCGAGCAATGGCTTGTCTAGTGATGTCACTTGATGGTTTCCTCAGAGTATGGCCACCAATCCATCTCCATTTCTTCCTGCCTATTTGTTTCACAATCGGTTCCTGCTGAGTTGGTTCGCTCATTGCCAGAGATCCCTCTCTGTTGCTGATCTTTTCTGGCCGGGCGGCCATCTGATCTCGAGTGGTGTTAAATGAAGACAGAGCTGTTAATGAAGGTGTGTAGTTTGTTCGAGATGCTGTTTACGACGTGCAGTGCAAGTCTCTGATCCATGCGTATAGTGAGTAGCACTGACTGACTTCACATTGGAGTTGAAAATCCGGATCTTATCTTCGTGTTGATGCTGAGTGCTGTTGACTTCCTCCACACAGACTTGAGAGTAGTGAAAGCTTGTCTTGCTTTTCCGATTCTTGCTTTGATATCCTTGTCAGTTCCGTTCGCCTGTAGTTGAAACGATGCTTCCCAGGTAGGTAGGTAAAAGAGGTTGTTTCTTTCAGGTTCCTCCCATTTATGCTGATTGTTGTCTGTTGTTGTTGTTGTTGCTGTTGGTGGTGTTGCCCAGGAATCTTCATCACCGCTGTTTTGTCTATGTTCACCTGAAGGAAGTCCTATTTTTGGTGCTTCTTCTGCCAACTTGTTGCTTTTCGCTTGCATATCTTCCAGTTTGTGGGAAATCAGATATATATCATCGGCGAAGTCCAGATCCTGCAAGTGTCTTGTGTGAGTCCATTTTATGCCTGTTTCCTCATTGCCCGCTGTTTGTCGCATTATGCGATCTACTGTAATCAGGAAAATCATTGGCGTTAGGAGGCAGCCAACTTGTCTTACTCCTGTCCTCACTTTGAAGGATTCTGTAAGTTTCCCGTTGTGGATTACTTGGCATGCAGCATTGTCGTACAGCTGTTGGATGAGATGTATAATTGTCGGTGGCACCCGTTGGTAGTAGCGAAGTAGTTTCCAAATCACCTCTCGATCGACGCTGTCAAAGGCCCTTTCAAAGTCGATGAAGTTGAGATAGAGAGGTGACTGCCATTCCAGGCTTTGTTCAATGATGATCCGTAATGTGGCGATCTGATCAATGCATGACTTGTTTCTCCTGAATCCAGCCCGTTTCGGTCGAAGTTTTTCATCCAGGGCGGCATGTTTGATTCTCTCCAGGATGATGCGGCTTAGTATTTTGCTTGGGATGGACAGGAGCATAATTCCGCGCCAGTTCTTTCATTGACTTAAGTCTCCTTTCTTTGGTAAGGTGGAAGTATTTCTTTACGTGAATGTTTATCATAATATAACACAAGGGATATTCAACAGAGTTGAAGTTGTGGACACATGTAGATGTCGATGGATTTTGTACCGGTAAAAGATATTTCTAGAGAATGTATGCATTGAGTTCTTAATGTCTGAGTTATGGAATTTCTGCTTATTCGCAAAACCTGGTGACCCCGTTGATCAAAAGGTTTTCTTACATTTCGGGTTGAAGAGAGACTTGTCTTGAATTTAGTCTGAACCATATGAAAATTTAACTAAAAAAATAGGTTTTCGTTCGAATAAATTGTCTTCCCAGTGGTATTATCTGAACTTTTCAAAATTGTAAAATCTTATAATCAATTATTCTAAAGCATTAAATGAAGTTTAATGGTTAATCCTCATCTAAACATCTAAACTTCGATGTTGATAAATAAGGAAAGACATAAGACGCTTAATACAAGTGAACAATAATAAAACTCTGATTATTATACGTCCAGATAGAGGAATCAGTGTAGTTCTCCCAATGAAGAACGAATATGTTACAGATATGCAGTTTAGTTCTGGAAGTAATCCTAGAATTCAAAATTAATTATTAATCCATGAATTTTAGAATACAAAAGCCTTTTTACCATTACTGTCATTATTATTTACCATTCTTCATATTTAAACTCAGCTTATCTTCTCTTCAATATTTGACCATACTTTACAATATGATCTGATCACTACATTTTGTCATCACAATTGTTATTACCCATCCCTGGAACTTACATTCAACATGCCCATAGATTTTTGGTTATATTGTTGTAGTATTCATATTTCCTCTCACCTATGTGTCGGTGGCACAGCGGTTAGGACTCTTGCCGACCATGTACATGGTCCAGGGTTGGATACCCTGCCGACGCACACCTGATATCAATGGTCGGCCTGCAAAATTCGGGCTACTGATATCACATGCTGAAAATTCTATACTTGTATCAAAAATACGGTGTGAAATCAAGCTATAAATAAAAAATTATAACTTACTCCCTTTGAATTTATATTTTTAGATTATGAACTTTTGTAGGAATTTCGATTAACTTCAATGTACATTTCGTCACGAACCAACACCAGCTAGAGAATATCAAAAACTGGAAAGCGCTGAATATGTTTCGCCCTAATTTGGACTCTTAAGCGGCGCACACCCTCGACCCCATCGGGAATCAAACTCTGAACCCTCAGGGTGGCCACTCAGCAACTTGAGTCAGAATTTGGTGACCTGTGAATTCTAACTCCTGCCAATTCATGGTATAACGGTGTTTCCAATCAATGCTTTCGACGAGCATCCAATTCACTTGGATATTAGTGAATCCTACTGGCCATGATTTCTCAGTACGGCTTTAGGATATCCATTCACTAGTCACCAATATAAGAGATTGATATTTATTTTCAGTGCAAATTTCATTACTAGCCGAAAGTCAGCGCTAAAGGTCACTGAAAACTATGGAGCAATGGCAACCTAAATGTCCTGAGTTTGATGGTGGGTTCGTGGGTGCACAGTACTGAAGACTCCTTTAAAAAAGACGAAATAACTGTGCAGTGCTCCTTGGTTTTCGATGATCTCTAGGCGGTACTGGTTAGTGACAAAATCTACACTGGACTTATATTAATGTTGATTATAAATACATAGGCGGGCATCGGTGGCATAGCGGTTAGGACGCTCGCCGACAATGCACATGGTCCGGGGTTCGATCCCCGGCCGGCTCACTCCTTTACCTCGCTAAGCCAGAACTAAAAGCTGGTGAAGAGGAAAGGTTGGGCATGAGGCTAGCAACCCCATCCTGTGAAAATAATAACCACTGCTACAGAAACTTCAAGTCTCTAGCTTGAAGCCCTATGTTCCACTGGGGAACGTGAAGGAATTAAAAAAAAAAAAATACATAAGCAGGTCATTTAAGTGTTTATTCACATTATATCTTATATGCATTTAAATGACAAGCAATACCAGTATGGACTATTATTCCATCTTATATTCATCTGTCTGTCTGGATTCAACATAGAACTTGGCACCGAAGTCCAGCAGTTCGAGTTGCCACGTTCCAAATAGCACACAAAGGTAGACGGGAGAAGGAGAGAAGAGAATCAATAGAATTTAGATAAGTATAAGACTGAAACAGAATGAGTAATGGTAGAAAGGAATATGAAAGATTAGAGAGACTGAATACATCTGCGTAAGCCATTGACAACGATTTTGAGCCATGTCACCTATTGTCTCCAGCCATTGATTCTTAGAGTCCCGAGGCCGGGCCCCAACCCGGAAGTCTGCATCTCCCTACCTGACTCAGTTTAACTGTCAGGGATTTAATAGATTGATTGATGCGATGTTTTTGTTTGGCCACCGCTTACTCTTTTCCAGCCTGCACCTATATCAGCTAGTAATGCCCGTCTGGGTGGTGTAGGCGATGGTTAGGCATGCGCAGCACGTGGCCTAACCATCTCAATCTATGTAACTTTATAGCCTCTTCGAGTGATTTTCCCTCTTTGCCCAACACTCTACGCCTAACGTCAACTTTGCTTACCTTATTATACCACCTAACGCGAGAAAGAGATCGTAAACATCTGTGGTCAAAAACAGACAATCTCTTCATGTCTTCCGCTCTCAATGGCCACGTCTCACCGCCATAGAGAAGGACGGAGCGAACTGATGAGCAGTATACACGTCCCTTGGTTGACAGCCGGATGTCACGCCTACGCCAGAGATGTTGTAAGTTAGCGAAAGCAGCCCGAGCTTTCTGGATCCGTGCTGTGATTTCGTCACCAATCAATCCGTTGGTGCTGATACAACTTCCCAAATAGGTGAAGTGGTCAACATGTTCTATCACTTCACTCCCTATCACTAAGCTAGGAGTTGACGTAGTCCAGTCCTGTAGCAGCATCTTACATTTTACAGGGGCGAATCGCATGCCAAACATACGAAGATTGCTGCTCAAGGTGTTCAGAAGACTCTGCATTTTGTCAGCGTCCTCCCCTAACAGGACTATATCACCTGCGTATTCTAAGTCTATAAGACTATTCCCTGGTAACAAGTCGATTCCTAAGTCATTAAGTTCAGTTAAGGATACTTCCATTAGCATATCTATGATGAAGTTAAACAGAAAAGGGGAAAGTGGACATCCTTGACGGACACCACTGGTTGTTATCAATTCAGATGACAATTCCCCATAAGCCCTTACACAGCTACGTGAGTTTGAGTAAAGTGCCTTGATTAGTGCAATGTACTTTCTTGGCACTCCCTTCATAGTCAAACATTGCCATAGAACCTCTCGATCCACGGAGTCGAAGGCCGCCTTCAAGTCAAGAAATATGGCAATTGTTGGACGCCTAAAAGTGTGTCTATGTTCTAGGATCTGTCGGAGAGTGAAGATATGATCTATGCACCCTCTACCTGGCCTAAAGCCTGCTTGATTTTCCCTCGTTTGTTCCTCCCGATTTCGGCTTAGTCTGTGCATGATTACTGA